AGAAAATGATCTTCTATGACTTTAAAAACTTGAAGCTCTTGAAGAAGTTCGACTTCAAGCTCAACAAAGTCTAGAATCTTACAAAGCAAGAATGATTTGGACACATGATCAAATGATTCGTCCTACAAGCTTTAAGGAAGGTGAACTTGTTGTGGTTCGTCGAAGACTTATAATCTCTCATTGTCGCCTCGGCAATAAATTTGACCCAATCTGGAAAAGACTATTCATCATTGAAATAGTGTATGAAGGAGCATCCTATCAACTCATAGACCTAAAAGGTCAAAAGATCCATACCACCAAAAAATAGTCAATTTCTGAAGAAATGTCATACATAAAGATGTTATGTATGCAAATTTGCCTACAAGGAAGAAGATAAAATAAATCTCCTCCTAAAAGATAGGAGGCAATTTTTATATTCTCCTACAAGGCGGGAGATAAATTCAATCCCCACCTAAAAGATATGAGGCAATTTTATATCTCCTGCAAAATAGGAGATGTTTTGCCATATAAATGCCTACAAGGTAGGACAATAATTGATTTCATAAATAGGCAAAAGAGGTTGGCGGATATCAATGCAGGCAAATGTTTCAGAATTAAATTACTAAAATAGGAGTTAGGGGCAGTTTACGTGAAGAGAAGTTAGACTTTGGCGTTGGACGTGGGAGGTGCAGACGATTCAGGTGTGTGGAGTCGTCGGAGTCGGACGTGAGCGGAGGCTTGGGGTGTGAAGAGCGGCGGCGGACTAGGCGCAAGCACTCGTGTGAGTTGATTCATGCGTGGATGACGAAGCCGGAGGCAGTGAAGGAGGGTTGGTTTTGTTCTCACGGGTTGAAGATTTTGGCAATCATAGAGGGTAAGGAGGAACGAGATAATACAGAAGTAAGATTGAAACGTCAGTCCTCTTTTTTATGTTGTGTTGTCGAAGATAGTTATAGCAACGAATAGATGCGTCATTTGGATGTTAATTACATGTGAGACCAAATCGGGATTGTGAAAAGACTTATCTCTTCAATTTTAAAAATTTGTATTCCCCCTTTGTTTTTGTTAACAATTAGATGTTGATTTTTTGTCTCCTGGAAGACTTCAATTCTTAACATTATTGCACATTAATTAAGAGGGGTTATTGTACTTAAGGCTGGGATTAAATTCATAAATAAAGTATGTTCCATATTTATTTTTCATAGTAATTTTTTTCGTTCTAACTTCCATCTTCTTTCCTGCTTTGGGTGGAGGGATTTTTATTGAGACTAAACTTGTAACAGTTAGAAAGACATATGATTCGCCTCCTCCTTCGCCTCTATTGCCTTCTTAAATTATTGTAATGTATACTTTATTTGACAAGGAAAGAATGCTAGAAGATTTGTTTTTTATTTTAATTGATGAACCTCTGTGAAATTAAGCATCAAATAAGTTGTTTTGAAGAAGATTTCATACTGGAAACATTTCAGTGACATCAAGAAATTATCCTCAAATTTCTCCACAAGAATTTTCTTAATACCCATGAGCAGTTAGACTAAACAAAAGTACAAATAGCTGGAAGTTCTTTATTATGAATCTCCACATTCAAAAGTTTACATGTATTAAGAAGCAATAAGAATTTAGATTCCTTCGTCCTAGAGCTCCAATATCTTTTTTGAAGTATTAGCTAACATTCCATGAAATCATTAAAATCTGTCAAAGAGGTATAAAATTGTATATTTTTCTTTTGAACATAGGTTCAATAATAACAAACAAGTGCAACCTGTTCATATGAATAAGTTTCTTGAGTTCTCTTATGACAGCTAATATGGCAATCCCTATAACATTTTTGTCTAAAACTTTGATCATGTAATAATAAGATCTTTTGATTTAGCTTTAGATTTATATATTTGTTCTAAAGAACCACAAACACTTCCTTTTATTTTCCCTTCCTTTTTTTAAGTCACTCTGTGAAACCTTCCATCTCGGTCCAATTTCTTCTTTTCTCTCTTTTTTTTTTTTAATTTCAATTTTCTTTTTCATTCATTCACTTATTTAAAAAAAAAACTTTTTTTATTATTATCAGTCAACACCAATATTGTATTTCTAGATAATATAATCTAAAAGAATGTTTTTATAGAGCACCGTCGAGGTTTAGGGATCACGAACATCCTGAGTATGTTTATAATTGAAGAAAACTTTAGACATATTGAGAAAAGAACCCAAATCATGAGATGATAGGTTAAGTATTTTTCTATGAGGTATGGGTGTTCTAAAGGGAGGAGTAGATGCAACCTTAATTATTTGGTGTAGATGATATTCAATTTGAAGGTCTAAATGAATTCTTATATCATGAGTTTCCTAATACTTGAGAAATGAGTTTGAGATGAATATGATAGGTGGATTAAACAACTTCCTTATTTATAATTTCTCATTACATGAAACAATAAGGATCATTTTTGTGTGCTTAAGAAGCATTTAAGTATCCCAAAGTTATAATTGCTCATTACTAGAATATGTCAGTGAATTACATTGATATTAATTATTTTCATAGAATTAATCTCCATTTATTTCTTGATATTAATTGGCTAAATTTTAAGATATCTTTACACCATTGTGAAGTATGACAAAAAGGAAGTAGTGTTTATGCTATTATGAATTAGGAAGGCTAAAGGTATGGACTATGATGTTCCGAATGATAGATGATCTATGGTTTGGTAACTATGCAATGATATTTTATCATAAAAACTCATTTATCTCTTATTACAGAAAAATTATATATATATTTTTAATGCAATATCTTAAGGGGAGGTTCTTTACAGATCAACCATGTTTGTGTATCTAATATAACATGTTTTTCGAATCTAATATCTTAAGGAAAGGTTCTTTACACATCAACCATGTTTTGTGTATCATTATCAAGAAGGAAAAAAAAATATTGACCTAATGTGCCCACCTAATCAAAGAGTTCACTATTGATGATTTTAAATATAGATTAGTATGCCTAGTGGTTTTTATGAGCTTAATTTAGGTACAACATTGTGGTTGCACCCTGTTAAAATGCCCAAGTTATGATGACTAAAGACTCGTGTATATGATATGTTAGAACTAAGTTGTAATTTGTGCTATCATATGTTTGGGACATCTAAATGAGTTTTCATCAGTTAGGCCCAAGTGGAATGAACAAAATAGCCCCTAAAAGATGATTATATTTTAAGTAATATATATAGTTTATAATTTCCAAATTTATATAAAAGTAAATCCTTCCCAAAATTATTTTGAAATCTTAAGTTACATTACATTATATATATCTAAATGAAAATAACTTGAAAATCCTTTGAAAAGTCTATTAAAATTTGCACGAAAAAAGCTTCTTGGGGTTTTGTAGGTCCTTGCAAAGTCCTTTGAGAGTTCTTGCTAAGTGATAGAGTCCAAGTATTTTCTTTTGGGATTTAGATGTCTTCAAAAATAACTTGTGGAGCCCCACAAAGTTTATGAGTCCCCATAAACTTGTTTACAGACACCTACAAATTCCAAAATAGGTGGATAATGGTTACAAATTCTAGCCATTTGGGTATAAGTGTTTCTTGTTTTGCTTTGCTAGATTTTGATCTTTTGGATTGTGGTTACGAAATCCCATGAACTCTCATATATATATTAGATGATTTCAAAGTTTTATAATTACTTGAAAATCATTAAAGCTTCTATTGCAAAAATCTCTATCTCGTTGTTCATTCTTAACAAAAACTTTGAGAATTCTTAAGCAACTTTCATCAAAAGAGCACTCAACATTCTACGCTTTTCATACCATCACACAATTGTTGTGTAAGATGCATTCTTCAATAGTTATTCTTAAGTTTCTCTATTGTAATCCTTTGTGAGGTTCTAAGCCTTGATATGGAGGCTTAAAAAGGTTAGGTTCCCTTTCCTAGAATCAAGGTAAGAGTCTCTTCCCCTTAAGGAAAGAAGTTGTAGTGGTCCCTGTATTGCGTTGCAGGCAAAGACGTTATTGGGCAATGGAATCTAAAGTGAGAGTTCTTAGGTGTGGTTGTTGGCCTTGTTGGACTAAATCTATAAAAGTCTTATGAGTGCCCTTTACTCTTACACTTTTGTTTGTTCAGTCATAATCATTTTGATTCTATTGTTTTAAATTTTTATGCGTAATTTTTTTAGTTGCAACATAATAATAACAAAACAAAAAAATAAGAGGTGTCAATCAACCAGCAAAGACTTGCAAATAAAAAAAAGTTAAGATTATACAAAAAAGAGAAAAATTACCATAAAAATTACGCATTTGTTCAGTCACCATCACGCAAGTTTATGATTACTTTAGCATCTAGTTGACAAGGAGGATCTCATAATAAAAACTAAAAGAGAGGAATTTACCACAAGACCAAGGTTATAAATTGTATTCTACCAACAGGATTACCCCGTTCTATTAGTCTTTATTAAAGATGGAATGGTAAAAAATTTTGGAAAGTAATTTAAAAATTGAGCTGAAAAAAAAAAAAATTTAAATTGCAAAAGAAACATTTATGTTTAGCATTAGTCTAACTCAATGTTAAGCTCACAGCATAGCTATTTGTTGCTTCCAACTTCCATCGCTTAAGTTTAGAATCAATGATTCCTCTTGGGGTCATTGGGTTGCTTTAAGTAATAAAACTTGTTCTGAAAAACTAATGGGCTTATTAAATTATGTTGTTTGGTTAGATGTTGTTAGGGATGGAAGTAAAAAATCACAATAAAACAAACAATAAAGTAAAAACAGCATAAAGTAAAGGACACTAGGATTTAACATGAAAAAACTTGAAAACTAGAAAAAATCACTGAGTCACGTCACACCAAAAAATCCACTATGTAAATTAAAAGAAATAAGTACATGCTCTCACGCTCTCTCCTTGCTTCTCTCCTCTCTTATACCATTCTTGCACTCAAAAGTGAGCCCTAAGTTGAATTTTAATTAGTAGATAAAAGCAAATGAGCCCTAAGTGGAATTTTAACTTAGGACATGTAACTTTTTTTGGGCTACAAGAAACCAAATGAGCCGTAAGTTGAATTTTAATTAGTAGATGAAAGCAAACAGCTAACAAGGCCGTAGTTTGATTCAAGGATATGGTAAATCAAGCTTTCATACATGACATTACATTACAGGTCAATCAAAATCCCTCAGAAGCTACAAATTTCTTAAAAACTTAATCTAAACGAGATTTAGCTCGTGCAGTACATCAAATGATCAAAATTGCGAATCAGCTACAGAAATAAAAGCGTGCCAATTTTCCCCATTACTCAATACTTCAGCAATCCAGGGGGGGAGATGCACTTACGTGATGCATATCCAAACGCCGAGCACGATGAGAGCAATGCCGAGAAGAGCAGGGCCGATCCGCATCTCCTCACCTAGGAGAATAGCAGAGGCGGCGGTGGCGGCGAATGTGGTGGCGTTTGTGACGGGAACGGCAACGGAGATGGGAGAATCGCCGAGGATGTAGAAAAAGGCGGCGGATGCAGTGAGGTTAACAAGGAATGGGACAGAGTATTGCCACAAAAGGAGAAGGTCGAGCCACTTCAGGACGTGGCCGATGACTCCCCGTTGATCGCGTGAAGCCGGCGGTGTGGATTGGAGTTTTTGTTCCCAGAGCAGTGCTCCGCGGCGCATGAGCGAGTTGGTGGAACCCCATACCAGGCCCACCCCGATCATCTTCTCGATTTCGCTGATCATCTCGTACTGATCGCCGGAAAAACGGCAACCCGTTCCTTAACTATTCTGAATTTGTTGCGTTGACGCTTGACAGTAGGTATGCAACTAGTATAATTAAGCAGGCTTTATGTTTGAGATTATATATTTAAATCCATTCATATGTTTTTTTTTTTTTAACTAAGCTTTCTTTTCGGCTGGATTTGTTAATGATGCCATTTATATTTGTTTTTAGATTGTCCAAAATATAATAAGCTTTTGTTAGTAGAGTTTTTTAAAACTTTAAATTCTCTTGAATTTAAAAGGTTCGAATTTTATTTCTCATGTAAATAGTGTTGGTTCATTTAAATATTTTTTAAAAGTAATATACCTCATAAATATAGTCAAAACTTAAAAGATTATATTGAATATCTCATATTAATTCTCTAAATTATATGAGAAATTATTAGGTACGGAGTGCGGACGGGAAAACCGTCTGCACACTAGTATAAAACCGCGGTCGGTACCGTTCGGTACCACTAGGTACTGCTTGGTACCCTGTGTCTGTGCAGACGGTTCTCACCCCGTCCGCACTCCGCACCTAATAATTTTTCAAATTATATACCTCATGAGAAGGATTGGATTCGGAGGCGATCAAGACTTCTCTTCTATACGACAAGTTTCCATTCTTCCTTTGAAAAATGTGTTGACTATCCTTACTGAACTAACAAAATTTGGAGTCAAATTCAATCAAGACTTTTAATCCCTACGTTAAATCGTTGATCTTCCTATGAGAAATCTATTAAATGTCCTCATCGAATGGAGTAGATTTAAGCCCGTAATCTTACTCTGAGCCTATCCTAGATTTTTGAGATTTTATCTTTTTATTTTTAGCCAGTCTCCTTTGATTTTCATTCATTTATAATCTTATTTTTATTTACCCTTTAACCTTTAAAGATACTGTTACACAGCCCAATTTCTCTAAATTTTACTTGAGCAATACTTAAAAAATATATTCATTATTTTAGTTCAATTTTTTATCATTATTTTAATCAATATTTTTTTAATATAAATCGGATCAACTGCTCTCAAAATAAAAAATAATAATAATAATAAATTAATTTAAATAAATAAACTTAAAAAATACTGACGTTGTAATATATACTTCCAAAAAAACCCCATCTATAGAATATTATTAATTGAATATAAGCAGCAACATCAATAATTAAAATAAGCCTTAGGGGCTGTTTGATAGTAGCATTTAAAGTCGGATTTGAAGCGGATTTGATCGAAATCCAGCCAAACGGCCTAAAATGCAAAACCAAATCTGACGGCAAATGAAAGCCGCCGTAGACCGGAAATTCAGCCTTTTCGTGCTAAATCCCGGATTTCCGAATTTTTTTTTTCAAATTTACAAAATCTGTTGGTTTAAATCTGTTCTATAGTCAAACAGTCACCCATGACTTAATTGAATTTAACATAAATATTATCAAACAGTTCAAAATTTAAGCCGCACAAGATTTCCGAAATTTGAATTTAACGGATTTATGAAATCCTATTTAAATCAAATCATAGTTGCTACGAAACAGCCCCTTATATATTTGCATTAATCAAACCGAGACAAAATAATATGCAAGTAAGTTCCGCCAATCAACCGAGGCGCTCAGCCCATAAAGGGCAAGGGTGAGCAATATAAGACGCACGGTCGCTGCCGGCAGTAATAACAAGCTTGCTGTGCCACTCCCCCGCCGGCGATGGCGGTACCTCTGTCGCTTCCACGGCCTGCCTTCGCCATTCCCGCTGATGCCGATGCATTGCAAGTGCAGCGCTCGCCACCCGCATTTCGAACTCATGATTGACTCCCGCACTGGATTCCGGCTGCTGTCGTCGTCTTATCATACAGCGAGCAATGATATAAGTGAGGATTCGGAGGCCGAATATGATGGCGACGACCATGAGAGCCATGATGATGTAGTATTTGGCAGAGTGGTGGACGTGGAGACAGCTGAGAAGGCCGACGCAGGACATTGCTTGTTCGGGCTCTCTAATATGGTTTCTTATTACATGTAGTGTAGTTACTTTTGTTGCGCAGAGGATTCCTTGCTTTTGCCTTTTGCGAGTGGGGAGATGGGGATAGGTACCTTCCTTGCTCCTTGTGCCTTCCTCGAAGGTTCTGACAAACTTTGCATCAACTTTCATCGTTCTGCTTTTTATACTATGTTTTATGGGAACTTTTATTTGGTCCGGTGTAAGGATACAGAGGCACATCCGATTGTAGGCAAAATTCTGTCTATACCGAGGTGTACCGAGTGTAAGGATACAAAAAAACTCGGTACACCTCGGTATAGGCGGGATTTTGCCTACAACCGGATGTTCCTCTGCATCCGGTCGGAGGACGTAATAATTGTTCGTTTTATGGTGAGTTTGGAATGGTTCAGAGATTTTCATGTGAACGAAGGTCTCTAAAGGCACTGATTTGGTTGGATAAATTTCTTAGCCTATTGATGAATGTGTTATTTTAAATCGGACATGACCGACTGGTTTAACCGTTTCAACCGTGAATCAATCGGGAAGCCAATCCGAAAAACCAGCAAAATCATTTTAATATTGAGCCGAGAAAAAATTGGATGAACCGCCAGTTCAACTGTATAATCGGTGAACTAGTCAGTTTTAAAAGATAGATTTTGCACAGTCGATCAGTGATCCAAGCGTCAAAACACTTATAATTTATCTAATATAATTGAAGTCCTAAGACGTAGTTTCCTGTTTCCCTCCCAAGCCACGGCCTGATGACCCGCACTCCCATTATCATGTAGTTTCCCTCCTAGGAACAAACGCACGATCATTTCTCGCTTTTTCTCGCAATAGATGTGCTCCTAAGATCGCAACAACTTCACAGTTCACTCTCCGACATAGGCCCATATAACATCAAAACCGCATAAATTTGCAACATTGATGACCCTTCGTCGTCACCAACAACCTACTCCTATTGATTTGTAGGATTTCTTATTTCTTCCCAATATTACATCATCCAGTTTGACCGGGGTCGAACTATTGAATCATGAACCTCTCATTCTTCTGATTCATTGTCTGTTCTGATTTTCACAATGTTGTTAAAAGTTATGTTTGAAGCTTGAAGTGAGCATAAAAACCAATATCGTTTTGAAAAACTAGCTAATTTGTATCAGTTATATCATGCTTTTTGCACAAAAGACTGTTAGATAAGCTAATCATATAAGATAAACTTTCAGAAAGCTTGATTGTCTCAAGATTAGCTCGAGTCACTGATAACTTCAATGGAATACACCACATTGATAGTGAGTTGAGGGCCTATTGGAACAAAATATCTAACCAAATATGAAAACTATTAGGAGTGATATGAGAAAATTTACATGACTGACAAAAATCTTGAGGTAATATTTAAATGTAAACATTCAAATTAATTTCATAATCATTTAAACTTTAATTTCAACAAACTAATAGTCAAATTGAATGTATTAATGCGACGAACCAATTAAAATTACAAGCATTATCAAAAATATGGGATATCCGCAGTACTTTTTACCAGCGGTTAGTAAACCGCTGCCATAGATAGTTATAGATAGGTATTGGCTGATTATTTGGAATTATTTCTAAATTGAAATAAGATTTTATTTGGAAATCTTTTAATGACTTATTATTGTAATTTATTAGGGAAAAGATTATTTCCCTAATTAAGCTGATTTTATTAGAGATTTGATTGATACATTAATTAGGATATCTAATTATTTTATTAATTAGGGATTTGATTAGGATTAGATTAAGAAGTTTTTTCCTAATTTACTTTGGCTTAAATCTATAAATATAACCATAGGGGCTGCTGTTGAATGTAAGAGATGAGAGGAAGTGAGAGCTTATTGTAATTCTCTATTGTTCTCCAATTTAGTGAAATTATAATCCCCTCCCCGTAGGCGTAGGCATCTTCATTGAACCACGTAATTCGTCATGTTCTTTAAGTAGTTTTATTGTGTGATTTTATTTATGCTGCGATTGTTTGCACAACAATTAATATTAAAGCTGAATTTCAATGGAATTTTCAGTGACGGTTTGTAGAATGAGAGCAAATCTTCGAGACGTGATCTAGTTAGATTGAGCAAGCAAAGGTTATTGATTTTTTCTGGATTGTTACTAGGCTGGATTAGTGTAATTCCTGTGTTGTAAGGCAGTTACAGTCTAGAGGAAAAGATGAGACTCGATAGAGCCATGGATAGATCCACTTCGTTGGTGTAGAAGGAATCGATTCATTAAGTGGTTACACATCCCATCAAAATTGATGTCATGAACTATGATGGTAAAGGGAACTTTCGCATGTGGCAATGTGAGGTGATGAATGTGTTGCGTTCTTTAAATTTGGAGGATATTTTGGATGGTGATGAACATCATAAAGAGATGCCTGAAAGAAATTGGCTTAAGATGAACCAAAGTGCTTGTAGCTTGATCAAAAATTGCCTATCTCAAGATATCAATTATGGGTTGATGATGGATACTTCTATTGTGAAGTTGTGGAAGACTTTGAAGAATAAGTACCTGACAAAGAGCATGGAGAATAAACTTCATATAAAGTGTTGGATCTATAGGTTTTAGATAAAGCATGGGTTATAATTGAAGAGCATTTGAATTACTTTACAAAGTTATTGGCAGATCTTTTGAATTTGGATGAAGAGGTTGGAGATGAAGAAAAGACACTACTTCTATAGAATTCGCTCCCTGACGAGTATGAAAACTTCACAATGACGCTCATTTATGGGAAGGATGTCTTGAACTATAGTGAGGTGACTAATGCATTACTGAATCACTAATTCTGGCATCATGATAATTAGTATATAAATATGGATTAAGCTAAGGCTCTCACACTCCAATAAGGAAGATCTAAAAAATAGAAGAATAAAAAGCTCGACAGTGTCAAGCGGGGGCACAGTCTTGGAAAAAATCAGTGTACTTTATGCTTAGAAGCTAGACATTGGAAAAAATATTGCTTGAAGCTGAAGGAGAAGGACGAGAGAGTTTTCACTAAGGCTAATCTTAGCATGGAAGAGCATGATGAATATTCAAATGTATGACTATCTATAATTTCTCAGAGTTTGTATTCAT